ATGCCCCCTGTCACACTATATGGAAGCAATGACTCTCAACGAAGTAAACACTGGCTATTTAATTGTGTGATGGTTTGTACAAAAAAGAAATATTAAAGATTCCTGCCTTACCTGTGTTAAAAAAAATAAAAAAATTTAAAAAAAAAATAGCTGTTTGAATATTTTGAAGGGTAATGCTGTTGCTTTACTCCAAAGACTGTGGCTTCATGTCTCATAGCAAGATCAACTCAATGAGAACAATGTAATGTTGCAGATGCTTCCTTGTCATGAGAAGTCCCTCTTTCCTTGCCTAGGCAAACATTAAAGAATCTTTAACATATTTCAAGGAGGTAACACAAGATTGCTTCACCTCTACAGAAACTCTAGGTTACACAGTCTGGTGCTTTTATGAGCTATTTTTGAGTGCAACAAGGCTTTTCCATTCACCTCCGCAGCCACCACATTGCCAGTTTGAAGCACAGTACTTTGTCAAGCTTTAAAGAATACCTTGTGCCATAATTCCCAAGCTAATTGCATCTCTGATCTCCTCATGGCCTCCTTAGGGGCACCCACTTAAGTTTCAGACCTGTAGCTGTCACCTTTCTTGGTGTGGAATGTCATGGTCTTCTCCCTCTAGACTGAGCTTTGAGTTGTGGAGTCCTGAAATCCACTGTGGTTACCTTGGCAAGTCTCACTTCTGTCTACTACCTGCAGTTCTGTGACCAGTGATTGAGAACAAATGTATGATAGAGGACATATACCTTGAAAGCAGTTTGCATATATGCCTTCCTTAATATGTATTTACCCATCTTCCACATGAAGAGCCTAGTGGGTCTAAAGTATTTTAGAGTTCACCTGTAGGGTCTGTATTTCTTCCAGATTTGCACACTTATCAGCTTTCAGAAGAGTCTGTTCCTGTCTTCCTGTATGTGTCTCTCTCTGCCTTTCAGTCTCTCTTTTTCTGGCCCTCACTCACCCCATTCAGCATTGCTGTTTTTGTACGTTTTCAACTCTTCAAAAAAATTGTTACCTGCACTGTTTCAGCATTGAGAACTGCATTCAATCCTCTCCAGTGTTTTTAGTTCCTGCCAAAAGCCTCTCTTAAATTTCTCATTTTGCCAGGAATATTGGACTTCATGGTATCTAGCTTGGTGTCAGTTTGGGAGGAGGGTTTGGAATCAGGACCTAAATGCTGTTTGAAATTGTCTGGTTTACAGACCAATTTACTTTAAAGGCATTGCTTATACAACTTTTGTATCACCAGATACTCTGATATACTCATATAATGCACAATGAAATAAATTCTGCTCTTAGGTAATAACTCCCCAAAGTCAATGGGTGCTACTTTGAATTTATAGCAGTGTAACTGGTGTCATATTAGCTCCTAAGTAGTTTTTTATACAACTAGAAAGACTCATGCTAGGCTTAATTTATTTATTTGATTTCTATTCTGCATTCCCCAGACAGGCTCAGGGTGGCTTACAATGGCAAAGTCATAAAATCTGATAAATAATAAAGCAATAATAAAACAATTATTCAAATAATACTCAAAGCTTAACCCCACCTGCCTGCAGTGTCTCACACTACTACTAAAAGATGGCCAGGCTTGGGCTTTGGTGGGTCTTAAGGGAGAGGGAGTTACAGAACTGAGCAACAACCCAGAATAACCTCCCACGTGTTTTGGCTAAACAAACTTGGTGCACTGATGGTACTTGCAGGAGGTTGTTCTTGGCTGACCTTAGGGATTATGCTGGAACATAAGGGAGGGGGTATGTCGAACCCAGACCATTTAGAGCTTTAAAGGTCAAGACCAGCGCCTTGAATTGTACCCAGAAGGCTACAGGAAGCTATACTTTGCTTTATAAAGACAAATAAAATCCTCCTAATTTTACAGCAGTCTAGACATGTAGTATATTGCAAAGCAGAATGTAAGAAGAACATCTTTGAAGTTGTTCTTCTTAGTTTTATTTCAGAGGAGAGCTGAGGATAAAAATCCAGCCTGGCACTGACAGCACTGTCCCATGGGCCCTAAGAGGAGTGTGTCAGAGTAAATCAAGAAAACTGTTAAGCCATGGTAAAATGTTCTATTACTTATTTGCTCAGCCTATTTTGATCTGTTTAAAGCTTCTTCCATTGGTTTGTTGCTATTGCCAAGTTTGTACACTTTCTGTGGGAAACCTCATTTCAATTAAATGGAATGTTTAAGAAACATTTTATTAGTGTTTACTTAAAATATATCCCATAAGTACAAAGAATCAGGACTGTTGTACAGCTGGCTATAAAGAGACACTGCATAAATCATGAAAACTAGCCATTTTGCTAAACTGTATGGAAATGGTTGCTGATGGCTGGCCTCTCCTTGGATACATGCAAGGATGCATACTTTATTTTGTTCTAAACTTGCTATATTAAATATTGAGAACTACTTTGAAATGTCAATGGTAGGAGGTGTTTTTAGATCAATAATGCTTCTAAGGCACCTGCAGAACAACTTATCCTACAATAATTTGTCTTGTAGCTCCCTCATTCAAGGGGAGTATGCTTGCTGTTTACACCCTTTCAGGACGGGTGGCACACTACCTTCTGCACAGTGCTGGCATGCTACCAAAAGGCCTGGCTGGAAAAGGCCATGTCCCCAAATCAATGTCATTCCTTTCTTATAATTAACTTCTGGTAAGTCTGCATCCTTTGAATTTTTAGGATAAGTGACCTCCACGTTGCAAAGTAAAATGCAGCACGTATCTTAGTCATGGTCCCCCTGCTTTACGTATGGCAGCTTATGGTATTTTGTTTTGTGGCTGTGTCAGGGTTGACTGTATGGTTTTTCTAATAAGTTAGACTATGGATTTGTATAGGCTGGTTTGTATTGGGATGATCCTGCCTTAGGCAGGAGATTGAACTAGATGACCTCTGGAGGTCCCTTCCAGCCCTACTTGTCTCTAATTCTATAAATCAGAAGAAATGTCAACATCATGAAGTAGGAAGCATCTCCCATGTAATTAGATCAGAAGTCAATGTAAGAACTCAAGAAGTAGGGGCAGAGGAATTGAGACAGGAGTTGATGCAGCCTCTCAATATATTGGGAACAGTCTTTGCTTAATTTCAGGTATGTTATTATTTTGCATGAAAACTAGGTCCTACCAAAGTCAATAAGGACTTCAGCACTTACTTCCCTGGGGCCAACGTTTACAGACATGGGCTTAGACCATAGTCCAGATTCAGATCTAGTGTCATGGTATCACTGTTTATCAGGGGCTGAAGACAAGCAATAGTATGTCCTTGACTTGGTTACTTTCAAGTTTTTGAGCAAAAATCTCTGAACTAGAAGTACTTGGATACTGTGGCACTTGGTTTGGTCCATTGCTAAGATAAGCTGCTTAGATCTTCAGTTTATATTTTGTAAAAATTCCATTAAAATAGATACAGTCATAACATCAAAGAAAAATTAGTTGCTTTTTTGGGTATATATTTCTTTTTGAAAAGCTCTAATTTTAAAATGAATTAAAGGTACACTATCACTATCGTGTGCTTTCATTTTATAATTGATGTTTATTCTGTGATCTCTTGTGCACAGCAATGCTAACAACACTGACGCATGTAAATCCTGTTTCAGGAAAGCTCTCATTCATGTGCCTGTAAGCATGTAAACTAAAGCTGTGTGAAAAGTGGATGGGAAGAGCAGGAGTAAAACACTGGAAAAATTAATTAGTTCAGGGACACCCCAAAAGGGTGTTTTGGCCAGAGAGACCCAAGGGTCTTTTTTTGTTCAACCTGAAATATTTTATTTGAAATAGAATATATAGGGAGTTATTTCACTGCTTTTAACCTTTTTATTTATTTATTTATTTTAAAGAAGCAAATACGTTCTAAATTGAAAAAGCCTCTTTTAAAACCAAACATGTTTTTTCTGAAAATAGAGAAGGGAAATATTTAGACCTTTCCAACATGTTTTTCCTGCTCTCCCTTTTGAGGGAAACTGTTGTTTTCCAGTGAGACAATGTTGCCCAGCTCTAATTTTAAGCATCTGCATGTTAGTCATGTGATGAAAATGAGGCGCATACTAATGTATGTTGTTTAATTAAAGTAGAATGACAACAAATGAAAGTCTCTAAGTAAAGCATCGGAAGGTACATGTGAGAGTCCAGTACAATGTGTGCCATGTGCTTTAGCGTGTAAACTTTCTGCAAAAGTTTAGCTAGCATACAAACAGTCTTACAATGTGTTTGCATTTTACAAGCCAACAAGCACTCATCAGTAAATCAATAAGCCAGTCAAGAGGACTGTAACACAGCAAGATGTACAGCAGCGGCAGCAGCAGGAAAGGAAAACTCCCTTCTCACTCCCTGCAAGTCGCACAGACTTTTACAACATTCATTCCTAATAAATGGCTGGAGCACACTACCTTTCTGCTTTAATGTCTTTTACATGGCAGAGCGAAGCCTTTCTCTCCAGAACTGGCACTTTGATCCCGCTGCGAAATAAAGATCAGAGGATGACTAAGAGTTTTGGGAATTGAGGTCTCACTCGCTCTCTCACTCATACACACACGCAAAGTGCAGAAACTCATTTTCATGAATCTGTTATTGACGCAGCTCTTCAATAAGCGATCCCTATAGCGCACGTACTTACCCGACACATTACACAGTTGTTTGCTATGTACAGAATAATCAAGGAAACAGACTCATGTTGTTTATTACTGAATCAGCAGCGGCAGTCTAATGGATTGAAAACATCCTCATTTTTTTTCCTCTCTCCTATTGTGAAAGTGCCAGTGCTGTAAACTCTCCCTTTAAAAGCAGGGGGTAGAGATGAGGCAACTAGTGACTTGCTTGATCTCTGTGCTCCCAATCTCTCAGGTTAGGTTTCCTGGCCCAAACCCAAAACTTCAGAACATCAGCCACAGATATTTGGAGCCAACTGGATTGGGAAAGAATACAGTAAATGTCTGTTTCCGGTTCACAGGGTCCTTAGCGTCACCACATATTTTGGAAGTCTGACTGGCTTCCTGGCTTTGAGAGTCTCTTGAGTTAAACTCCAGGGAGCGGCACCAAGGGAAGCAGAGGGGGGCAGGGACAGGTACACCTAAAACTGCATGAATTATTTGAATGTTGTGGCTTTTTTTTTAGCATTAGCCCAAGCTGTAATTGAAGAGGGTTCCTGTTATGGTGCTATTTCTACTTCTAGCATTTGAGTGAAATATGATACATTTACAGATTTGTTGTTTGAACTGGGAGAGATGTTGGTAAACAGGCTTATCTCTTCCCCAACCAAAGTCAAGAACATCTCTTCCCCTGATTTTAGTGGTATCAAGCAGGGGCCCCCAAAGCCACAGCCATTCTATACAATGAGGCTTTGGATAACTAAAACGGGGTTTTTAATTGATTTAAAGGGAGGTAAACCCTTATGTGAACCTGCTTAAATTGGTTTGCACTGGACTTACACCAATTACATTTAAACCAATATTGATAGGTTAATTTAATTTGTTTGAATAGTTAGCTTTAATGTGTGAAGAACTGGATTAAGAATTGGTTTGGATATTGTTGTAATTTTTTTTAATATCATGTTATGGTGACGAGCAGCATGAGGGAGAGACACCAAGATCCGTGGGAGCAGCACAGTAGGGAAGTGCTGTTAACTGGTAACTCTGATAACAAGCCCATCCTGGCTCATTACAGTATTGCAAGCTGAAGTCCCTGGGGCCAAGATTTCTCCCAGGGCCCAAGATCTCTCTCAGGGCATGAGATCAATAAGTAGTCCTCCTTGCACAGTTTGGCAAGTGAAAGTGCAGATAGATTGACCGTATGCAAAACAGTGGTATTGCAAACAGTGACTGAGGTATTTAGGGAAATGAAGGGAGGGAGACAGAGACTAAAAAGAGAAGCAAATAGGCCCTTTTATTTTTCTTATGGCAATTTGTAGAGAAATCATTCCTGTTAATTTTTCTGAAGTTTACGCTAGGTAGAGGGAATTCTCAGTGAGCTGCAGGAGTTTGAAATTATTCTGGATAGACGTGACTCTACTGTTAAAGCTTATTAATCTGTAATTGCATATTTGACATTATTTCTTTTATTTAACTACTAAATTTAAAGGAAGCACTATCTGTTCTTCCCAGGCCAAGGGCAGCATTACTAAAGGGCTTGTCACATGAGTGCTGATGTCACATCACCACATTTCAGCATGCAATTCTTTCCTACTGTCATGAATGTTTTCATGATTTTTACATTCATGCAAAATAACCTCTGGAGGGGCTTCATTTTAATGAACAGCCTAAGGAAGGATATACCTCCTTTTTCAGTCAGAGAGCTGAGTTGGACAAGCTTGGTATAGAGCCAAGGCAAGCACGCAAAGCATAAAATTCCCTCCTCTTGGAATTCATCAAAGGACACAGACGTTTTCATTGTTTCTTATTGCACTCATGGTCTTCCTGTGCTGAGCACTGCGTTTCCAGACCTGCCTGGCTTCTTCCCTGCCTAAGTCTTTTTTATTGCTTTGCTTATTCATAGGAGACCTTCATCAGACAGCATTAGCAGGATCAGGGAGGCTGCTAGCCAGAATAAACATTAAGCACAATCAAAACAAGCAGGAGTTTGGGGCCTTGGGACCTTACCTCCCATGTAAAATCTGCAAAAACTCATCAAACACAGATGATTTCTGGAAAATATTTGTCATTTTATAACAAAGAAAAAAAGGAGAAAGAAACTTTTACATCACCATTCTGTCCTAGCAGATCGTAGGGCTGATGCTACCAGTAGGAAAACTGCATCCAGGAGGCAGTAACCTATATTTAGTAGTTAGTCACGTACAACCCATTTACAAATGGCTAAGAAAGTGGTTCTTATTCTTTGACAAGTTGTTATGCTCAGTTTCCATCCCTGAAAGACAGCTGTCAGTTAGCTTTCCCTAACTGGCTGTTACCTCTTAGCAAGCATTAAGTATCCCTTAAAGCAGTTTGCCTAACTGTGCAGGAAATGTATGTGACTAAACCAAACATGGGGAAAAAGCATTTTCACTCATATAGAAGATGGAAATTAGTCTTTCCTACTGAATTCCTGTAAGAGCTACTGAAGGAACGTGTCTTCCCTTTGTTCTGTAAATAGAACTGCTGCAATAAGTAAAAGCAAACAGGGACGGTATGTCCAGGGATAGCACAGGATGTGGAGTTGTAAAGCACTCCCAGAACTCTGTCACCCTAGGTGTGTTCAAGGTAAGCTGTCATTTAACACAGCAGCTGTCTAGAGGCAGAACCAGTTGTACGTGTTTTTAGTATGTTTCATTTCTCAGCATTGATATGCAGTAATGATAGGGGGGAAATGATCAAATGTGTCAAACTACGCTGCCTTCAATAGTTCCCAATAAAAATCCTTTGGGGAGGGCAGGGAGGGGATTGTAGCTGTTCCCAGCCCCACAGGCTAATATTAAGTCCCAAGAAAACACCCTGGAGAGTCTTCCTGTTTTAAAAACTCATATTTTAAAACTCAGAAAGTGGTGCTCTTCTGTCACCATTAATTACTGGTACTAGAAATGCTGAATCATCAAAGACCGGTTCCAGAGAACAAGGACTTTTAAAATCTTTCCCACCATTAATGTTTTTAATGGAAACATAGCTTTTCAACGAAGAGGTTTTTAATGGTAAATATTTTCTTTCTACGTAAGATTTTGATACGTTGTTTAAAAACTAAAAACCCCAAAGTAAAACATTTAAAACCCCCAAAACAAAAAAATGTTGATGCACAATTCAGGGGCCTTGAATCTAAGGTGACCATACATCCCGGGTAGGCCAGGACAGTCCTGGATTTGGTAGGCTGGTCCCAGCCAGTTTATAGGCTCATAGAAAATTAGGGGTGGTGAAAACCAAAAAAGAAGTCCCAGAATCTCAGCGGCATGGGGTGCAGTCTGGCAGAGAGGTGAAGCGGCACGGTGTCCCAGGCAGACAAACGGTGCCTGCCCACCTCTCTGCCTGATGCACCATGCCGTTCCACTTCCTTGCTAGACTGTGCCTCGCACCCCAGCCCACCTGCCTCTGCCTCTGCCTGCAGCAGTACCACTGACTTGGGGGTGGGAGGCAGCATCCCAGATTTCCTTAAAAAGAGTATGGTAACCCTACTTAAGTCTCCACTGTCCACTGGGGGTTGTTTGCCACCTGGACTACATTTGCCATGACACATTGCCAATATAATGAGATGCCCCATCAAATCATGTCTCAGTTCTTCTGCCCCTGCTTCTTGAGGGGAGACCATAGTGCATCACTGGGAGCCCCACTGGGGAGTAACTTGGAACAAGAGGTAGCCTGACTACAACTCCCTTGAGTCATCCTAATAACATTTCCCATTTTTTTTGTTTTCCTTCAAGTTTTAGCTCTGACCTAAACATTTTTGAGTTAACATTTTCCACACAAAAGCCACTTCCAAGCACCTTTTAACTTTTAAAAACATCTAACCGAGTAAATATAGAACTCTTCCAATGCCAAAAACCAACTGCCTTCATGTTATTTCATACTTCCTGCACTACCATTTTTCTCACACCCTCCACTTGTGCTGAAGAGGATGGCATGCTGAAAGTCTCAGTCGTGGACATCTAGGTCATAAATATAATTAATTCAGAACATGCCTAGGTTTGTTTATACCCAAGAGGAAAGACTTTTTTCTTCCTTTTTAAAAACCTAATTAATAAACATGAATACACAATATCTCTAATCTCTCTCTTACTTTGAAAAATGTCATCCATTAAAGAATGGGATTTTTAGAAGTGCTTTGGGTTGGGCTAACTTTTCTCCTCCTTCAAGTCATTAGTGAAACTCCTATTGATCTCCACACAAATAGACTTAGGCCATTGCTGAGTAGTTTTGAAAACCTTGACCACTTATCACAGATTTATCTTTATTTTATGCAGACAAACATTGTCCCATCACAGCATCTGATGAAGTGAGCTTGGTCTCATGAAAGTTTATACATATTTGATTTAATTAGTCTATAAGGGGCACCTCTACCTTCTACCAGACTTCAGACTAACATAGCTAATTACCCCTCTCCTTTATCTTAGACATGCATAATCGTGAAGTTAAGATTATCGATGTTACAAAAGTGTCCTTTATACGTTTCAACACTTCCTGTGGTCCCCATTTTGAATAAGGTTCTGCTCATATTTATGTCAGTATAAAATATATCAGTTAATGGAATTATTTCAGGTTTCCAATGTTCAGAATGTGTCCTTTTGTAAATTTGTCCGGAATTTTGAAGGCCTAGGTTTTACATTTGCTCCTTAGGATGAGAGCTAGCAAGTGAATAATTATATTTTAGTTACAAAGGAACGACTGAATGGGAGGAAGTGCTGTTGAAAAACTCACACTTTCTATGACTGACTGACACAAGTTACCAGAAAGGCAAGAGGCATTTTCTAGAAAGGAAAAGGCTTTTCCTAAAGTATTTTAATGCAAAACCATCTAGTCCGTTGAATTAATTCTGAAAAAATGACAGATGAATATTTTGAGGTGTATAATACTGACAGAATGTGAATGTCTGAAGCTTGATCTCTGTTTGGAAACATATGTTACATCACCATCATCATCACTTCTTCTTGCAACATTACAGAATCAGATCTGGTACATTATACTGAGAACCCAATATTTTATTTTTCTTCTTTCCCAATCATTCCAATCTAAGCTGATTCTCACGAGAAAGATCTTCAGGGGGTTTTTTCTCAATTTTTGTGGGGAAAAACTGGACCCTCCCATAGTCTGTGTCTTACATATGTCTCACATATGTCTTACCTATGTCAAGCATAACAGATAGAATTTCCCTGGAAGGATGTTGGAGGCCAGACAGCATGAGCTGAATGTCAGTCAAGAATTTCAGACTATGAACTAAATAGTGGTTTGCAGTTCAACTGGCTGTTCATTGAGCTCTTCTGAATACAGTTATCATAATACTTCCTATTCAAATTATTTATATTATCACAATGTAACAGCAAAAAAATGGGCATAAAACAAAACCCTGGCTTTAAACTGCAGATTCAGATTTGAATCCAAATCACATCTCAGGCTTCAAGCTACGATGGTCCAGAATTGAATTAAATCCAGATTCTGAAGAGTTATTCTCCTTGTTAAAGGGATTGAAAAGTTTATTAAGAAAATGTTAAAATTATAGTTATTACATGGCTTGGTAGAGTTGGAAGACAATACAGGAACCTGCACATTGTAGCTATGTAGGCATATAGTTGGTGCATATATTTACACAATCTAAGACATGCAGTTAGTCATGCTGCCTTCCTTAGCTCAGGGTACAGTGGCTAGAAAAATTCAGTGCCATCCTATAGAAAGAAAAGAGACAGGACCTCATGCTTGGTAACCACGTTGGTGCAAAGTTGTAGGGTAGCAAAGAGTTCTTAGTCAATGACTTTAGCATGCAGTGCACAATGACTAGGGCGAGGAATATTCAAAGGGTTTAGCAGTATGGGGGTGGAGGGAGGAGGTTCAGCCCACCCCCCGCTCTTGCTTCCAGCAGGTGGTCTCAGCCAGCTCTCTTTCTAGTATTAGTGGCCAGTAATGTGTTTGATGCAGATGTCTGTTGACCATCTGATGGTGTCAGATACCATGAGGCACTTATCAGCTTCAAATAACAGGTTTCAATTTTAGGTTCAGATCTAGGGTTTTGTTACACTGCTGATAAAACAGTGAGCAACACAGAACCTCTGGCAATCAGAAGATGTCTTTTTTGTGGGCTAGACAGTTAATCCTTCAAGTTCACTGGGGCTCAAACTTTTTATCCAGGGGACCAGATGGGCAGTGCCCAGTCAGTCCAAGGGACAGATCCTCCCAACCTAGAACCCCAGGGCAGGCACAGGGCACTGTCCAGCGCGTGGGGGAGGGCGGGTTCAACCTGGCCCCACATGCAAGGGAGCTTGACCTAGCCCAGTAAGAGAAGGAAAGATGCATGGCTCCACACTGTGCGGGGAATAAGCCTGGCTTGCAGAGCGGGAAGGAGTATGGACTCAGCCCCGATCTGGGACCCACAGCTCAGCCCCAATCCAGGGCTGTGGAAAGAATGGGCATGGCCTAGCCCCAACCCCACCCTGGAAGTGTGGAGGGGTGCATGGCCCAGCCCTGACTGGCCACACAGGGCTTGGGGTTTGGGAATTTGACAGGGGGAGTGTTGCCCCCACCGCCAAATTTCCTTCCCCCTGGGGAGTCCCATGGGCCAGATGAGATGGTCCCATGGGCTGTATTTGTCCTGCAAACCAGAGGTTGAGTATTCCTGTTCTAGCTCATCCCAACCATTGCCAGTGCTGCCTTATTAGCAACCTTGAAGCTGACTATGAGCCCAAGACTTCATGGGAATGGAGACAGAAGTACTCTTTCATGTCAAGAGTGATCTTTTTTACCCATGTAGATTGATTGAGTCCCCTACACCATGAGTAACAGTGTAAGGGACTTAATGAGGTGTGACCAGAGGTTGAGCAGAGGTGTGACTAGAGGCTGAGGGCCTGCTCTAAGTAACAATGCAACAAGTACTAACAAAGTGGAAAAAGTTGAGAAAAAAGTGCTCCACAAGAATTATCAGACATGTTTAAATTGGCCTAAGCTGTGCCTTTAACATAGCAATCAACAGGATTTAGCAAATGTCCGGTGCTAATTGCACTTTTCAAATGGTGGCCAGCCTTACCTGTGGACATCTTAAGTGTCCATCTTAAGTGACTGTACTGGCCTTTAATGTATGTTACCTTTCTTGTAAACTACTTTTACATCTACCGATGAAAAAGCCTGAGGCATTTATTAGTATACATAGAACCTACTTAACTACAGCATTTTTTCCTTGTATACTGTACAGACAAATTGGGTTATGCCGTAATTTCTGATCTAGAAATGAGCCAGCACCTCTGGTAATAAGTGTGAATAAAGAACTGAGTTATGCCATCAGGGATAGTCCCAGATAAAGTTAGTCTTGGCGGTAAGGTCAGTTGGTAGTCAGATTTGACTAATAAGTGTCTTTTCCATTTGTTGTGTGACAGCAGTACCAGTACTAAGGAGGCTTCCACCTTGCAGTTATGATCAAGTAGTTTAATATGGGTTGATGGAACACGTTCATATACAGAGACAAAATCATGTAAGTAGATTTTTTTGTGTGCTGTTAATTACCAACACATTTAATCTTACTCTGTGCTTTCTCAAGTGTATTTTCATAATGCTTCCAGGCTTTTCCACCTTTTTTGTTCAAAGCCAGCTGTTGCAAACAATAAGAAAAAGAGAATTTTGATTTCTGAGGATACCAGGATGAGGAAAGAGAAACCAGTTTCCTGTTAGAATTGAAATAGTATATGTAAATGACTGGCTTGGTACTTCAATACTGCTTATGTACTATATGCTGCCTATGCAGACAAAATTGTGCTCTTTGCTGCTTCTCTTTCCAATAGCTACAGATTTGTGGTTTCATTTATTCACTAAAAAGCTGAGTTATTTTAAAGAAAATGTATCCCTGTCTGTGGATTCATCCAGGGGAAAAGAAAGAAGGAAAAAAAAGAGGAAAATGAGAACATTTAAGATAATGTAACTCAGTGTAGGATTGCTTTTAATGGAGACCTTTACTGTGATTGAATAATTAATACTCTCATCCAGCAGTGAAGGCAGATACCTATAGAAGTGGCTACTGGACTGAGGCCTAATATCATAGCTTCTCCATGTAAATACTGAACTGTCTTCTGGCCATACTGATTAGTACTGTTTTAGCCTCTGCTACGTCTTGTGCTGTTTTTAATCTTCTCTAGGATTACTATATGTACTGTGCAACTTCTTATCTTGTACTGGAATTATGTTTATAACAAAAAACGGAACTCAAGGACTGAATGCCTCAGGGGGTTGGATCCTGGGATATGGAGACTTTTATCTCTAGGTTGCTGATTTAAATATGATCCAGCTTGGTAGTGACCTAGTCTAACGGCTAGGTTGTTCCAGTCTAATGGCTGATCACCTACATTAAATGGGTTTGGTGCCCTCAGTGTATTTCTTGGTAAATACTTGTTCACACTCAAAAGTATTACCACAACTGGAATCCTTATTAGCAGCCTCAGCAATGAGCCCAAGACTTCATGGGAATGGGGACAGAAGTACTTTTTCATGTCAAGGGTGATCTTTTTTAGCCATGTAAATTGACTGAGTCCTGGGAAGGATGGGGAGTAGAACCATACACTTTTTTTTAGAACTGTTTATTTGGTTGACCTTGTACCTTTCAACAGGGTAATTAAACTGCATTCACTTTTAAGAAGGACTTAAATTTTTAAATAAAAATACATTAATTTGCTTTTTATTTTATTTTTAAACATGGCCAGTGTCAAGGAACTCCTAGAATCTTTGCTGGGGAAGAAAGAGGCAGAACATCAGGGGAAAATTGGATCAGTTTGATGGTAAGCATATCTAATGTTTGTAGTGCTTTTCAGTCACATGTTTAGTTTATAACCTGACATTTTAATACATATATTCAATGTAAATTCAAATGTTATACAGACTACAAAAAGCTCCTACCCTGAAGTCAGTAACAGTTTTTTCCTGTGACAGGCTTGCCACATTTGCCCCAAACTAATGGCTATAAATCAAATTTAGAGGGAATCTCAAAATAATTTAAAAGCATTTTTCATCATCAAAATATTGAATCGTTTCTAAGTAAAATTAGGGGTGTATCTTTCCGAAAAGTTTACATCTTTTAAATTACTGGTTTCCTGTGCTATTTCCTTTTTCTTTGCTTTGAAATGTCCTACTATGCTTGTAAATTCGTTCCTTCTAAATTAATTGCCAAAAATATATAATATAGATACTCTTTAATTCTTTGGGGCAGGAACTCTCTCTCTCACTATCTGGTTGTGTAGCTCTTATTATAGGGAACATTCATTTCGTTTGGGATCATAACAAACATGAACAGAAATATTGAAAGATATCTGTAAAATTGTGTGCACCATTGGAAAATACAGGCTCATAATATATTTTTTTTACAGAGGTAGGCAGGTAATTTATATAAATAATAAAATAAAATAAAATAAAATAAAATATATGCTGCAATACATTTTGAAGAATTTGTGACAGTAATAGTGTGTGATACAGCTAAGAAATATATTTCAAACTAGAAACTCATTCATCTCATGTTACTGAATGAGAATTTTTCACAACTTGTTCCATTTTGAAAACATTAATTAAAACATTTGTCTAAAGAAATTGTAAATTTCTAGGGATTATCCATATATTAAGCACAATGAACAAATCCTTTTACACTTATTAGAACCTGAATGGACACAGATGCCTACATTTGACCCCTTCCACCCTGCTCAAGTCCCTGTAAAACCACAGCGCATCTACTTTTGTAACACATGCACCTTAGCTATAGAACTATGTGTGTCAATAGACCAGGAGTGGGTAATTATTTTAGCTGGAGGGCCACTTAATGAGTTTTGGTGAGCTGTTGAGAGCTGCAAGGGTAGCTGTGCCCCTTGATAAGTGCCCCGTCCCCTGGTCACCATCTTGGGACCCGAAGTCCTGCCCTTAACCCCTGACCTTTGCTACTGGAAGTCCCTCCCCTTGCCCCTGGATTTAATCCTTTTTGGAGCGGAGGGTTGCCATCTTGGAACCAGAAAAACCCCAATCGTATACTAAAAGTCAATCACCTAGTATAACATTTTAATTTTATCATGGTTGGTATTTGTGTACTGTATATAAAAATGATTGCATAATAACTGTCTTACTCTTGTATATTGTGGGTGGGGTGTGGTTGGGGTGGATATGTGTGTGGTGTCATGTGGAGTATGTGTGTGGTGGGGTTGTGAGAGGGTGTGGCTGTGTGTGGTGGGGCATAGGGTTGTATATGTGGGGGGAGGGTGTGGGTGTGTGGGGTGTGAGGGAGGGTGGGTGTGAGGGGGGTGTGGGAAGATCTCCCCATACTCCCCCCCTATCATGAACAGCCCCCAACAGCAGCAGCAGGAGGCAGTCACTCAAGGTGCTTGTGGCCACTTAGGAGCTGCTGCCAAGTGGCGCACAGCTTGAGCCAGCACTGCATGTGGCGGTGAAGAGCACAGCCAGGCTGGCATGCCCCCATTGTGTGGGACTCATGCAGCTCTTGGCACTTCCATGCCACTAGGTAAGCCTTGTGCGATGGAGTCAGCTGTTTTCACCACTCCCTGATGTGCAGCTCCCAGGACTCCACTGTGAAGCAGGAGGCAGGGCTCCCCTCCACTTCCAGTGGAGTCCTAGGACCTATGTGGCAGGGAGCAGCAAAGGCATCCAGCTTCACTGTGCAGGGCTTCACCCTCACTGTGTGTGAGCTGGATGTGCTGCATGTGCATCACAGGCAGTCCTGCCTGGTAAAGGTGAGCCTGCCTGGCTGCACTCCTTGCCACCATGTGCAGTGCTGGCCAGAGCCATGTGCCACTGGGTGGCAATGCTTGTGTGGGCCATGAGTTCCACAGGCACCCACTACCTGCTGCGGTTGCTGCTGCCAGTGGTGAGAGCTATGCACCATGAGGGGGAGTGTGTGGGGTGTCCCCACAGCCCTCTCCCCACCTTCCCTCACACCCACACCTTGCCCAACAAATCTCTGTTCTCCTGCTGCCCCACTAGGCAAAGGCTCCATGCTCCCATCAGCTTCAGCCCCAGCCAGCTCCATGCTCCTCCCCAGCTGTAGCTCCCTCTCCTCCCACCTCTGCCACTTCCCTATCTGCTGTCTGGAGCAAGCACTGCAGCAGGGAAATGAGGAGGAGACACTGGATGCTGGGGAAGCAGAGCAGGTCCCCCGGCAGCTGCAGCAGTGGCAGCAGCAGCCCCACCTGGAAGCTGCATGCTGGCTGGGCTGGGCCCTTCTGTGCACCAGGCTGGGAGAAAGGCACATGGGCTGGGTGGGGTACAATTAGTTGGCGGGTGCCCATGGGCTGGATGAAATTGACTGGTGGGCCAGATTTGGCTTGCAGGCTCTATTTTGCCAACCCCCACTATAGATGTTTAGGGGCCATGCTCTAACTCATGATGCTCTACACACAATGCCATGAGTTAGACCCCCTGCCCCCCCAACCCAACAGACATTCACCTGTTGGCTCAGGAGGGCTCAAGATGGATGGTGGGGGGGAGGTAGGGTGAAGTGGAGCCTCCTTGCCTCACAGGTCCCCGCTTCAGTTACCCCAGCAGGGTATTGGGGGGAGCTGGTTTGGGCCTGTGAGGCAAAGGGTCTCCATTCAACCTTGCTGCCCCCTGGCTCTGGCTACGGTGAAGCTGAGCTGGCAGCTGCTGTTCCCACTGTCAAGATGCCTGGACAGGGCATGGGGAAAAGGAGGGGTATCTGGGGTGGGGCTGTGAGGTATGGTGGAGCTCCTTTCCCCCAGCCCCCACCTGGGCCTCTTGACATTGGCAGCAACAGCTGCCAACTTGGCTTTGGCATGGATGGAGCTGGGGGAGGGTAGCAGGGTGGAATGGAGCCCCCTTTCCGCACAGGTCCATCTCTGCTTCTCCCCCATATCCCAGCTGGGGTAGCTGGGGGGGGCATGAGGTGAGGGGGCTTTGTTCCACCCCACCTCCCCCCTTCCAGCTCCAACCAGGCAAAGCCCAGCTGGCAACTGCATGCTGCTCCCTCTCCCTCCCCCTCCCGCCTTCCCTCGACCTCTTCCTCCCTCATCTGCTGACAGCCCCAGGGGTGGAACTGGACTAATGCTCCCTGGTGTGAGCACCAGCCCAGCCCACAAAAGCATGAAGAATTACCCTCAAGGGAACACAAATTCCCTAAGGCCCTCTGTTCTATACTGCCTTCAGCTAATACCTGATTTATCAAAGGTTAATATTTTGTGTGATCAGCCATGTTAAAAGTGATCTGCAGTCATCCATATGTGTTACGACATGGCTGTAGAGAGCATTTAGGGGCCTGATTGTGCAAAAAATATAACTTGTATAAGCACCCAGAATCACAAAAAAGCAGCAAGGAGAAGGAGGACCCACTCATTCATTTTTTGTGTCACTGGGTTTTCTGGAATTTGAGCAGGGTTGAACAGTAGGGCTGTGCAAAGTTTCGGTCTCTGATTCAATTCGGTGGAGATTCAGCCTGATTCAGTGACTGAACCTCTGAATCTGAATCAAATCAGTAGACCCTTTAATCTCTCCAAACTGAATCAGAACCCTCTGAATTGATTCAGAGAGATTTGGAAAGATTCAGAGATTTGGACATAGACACAGCTTTAAATGGTTTTTCAACATACCTTAAGGTAGCAGGTAGCTTGTGAATGCTGCAATGGTGGGGCAGATGGAGCATCACACAGGAGTGCAGGGGTGGGGAGGTCCCCAGTGCACTTGGCAGCAGACCTGGAAGTGGACCAGAAGCACTTCTGGGTCTGCTGGGGGGGGCCACCCCACCACCCCTTCAACTCAGCGACTGGTGCCTCCTGGGTCTGGGGGGGCACCTGAGGTCCTCCTGTAGCTGATCGCTGAGCCGGGGGAGCACGGGGTGGGTGGGGCCCTGCACACTCCCCAGTGGACCCAGAAGTGGACTGGAAGTATTTCCAGGCCACTTCCGGGTTCACCGCTGAGCGCACGGGGGCCCCCCCGTGCTCCTGTGGGAAGTGCCGTCTGTCCCAGCATTGCAGCATTCATGAGCCATGCCTGGTACCTTGAGGTATGTAAAAAAAAACATTTAAAGCTGTATCTATGGCTGAATCACTGATTTACTGAATCAGCATCGAATCTTCATATTTGGATTTGGCTGAATTGAATCAGGGACAGTGATCCGAATCAATGAATCAAATCACTGTCCCTGATTTGGGCCAAATCCGAACCAAATATGGCCCGTTTTGCACACCCCTATTGAACAGTATAGTATTTAGGTGCCTAAAAGGTGGAAAAGTAACTGGCCATAGTACTATTTTTGTGACTGTATTGTCTCTGTTCTCTGATGGGATGTCTGATTGTTTTAAATTGGAGAATGGTAAATGTCATATAATAAATACTCTTGTACACATACTCATCCCATGCATATAGAGGTATCATAAAGTTGCCACCGTCACAAACATTCAAGGCAACAAGAGTGTCCTGTATCAGTCAGAGGGAACATATGGCTCAACAGGAATTGCAAAGAACAGGGGTGTGGTTTTTCCACTCTGTGCATAGCAGCCTCCGTGAGGGTGGTATAAGTACGGTCAAGGCACAAACCCCTAAATACGTAGCTTTATTGGAAAGATACAGCATAGTAAATGTTTGTCAGTATGTCACATGAAGAACCTACTGCTGCACTTCTGAGGCCACATCCTCATCTGGGATAAAGCAGCATCCTTCTAGGTGATGTTGATTTATACCAGCAGAAGATCTGATGCACATAATTCTATGTAAATCTTACCAAACACTGTAGTGGGATCAGGATCAGGCCTTAAACCATGAAAGGTTCAGATGA